GCATTAATCTGGGTTTTGTTTTTAAAGTATTCTGATTATTGGGGAGGAGCCCTCATATTATAGCAGATTATATGGTGGGCTATTAATCATATGGTCAGTGGTTCGAATCCACCAGCTGCTCCACAGGAGAAAGAAGAGGCTTTCCACTCCTGGAGAGATTTACAGCCTCAGAAACCCTATACAGGGTCGCTACGAGTCATAACCGACTCAACAATGGCAACATTACTGGGTGTGGTGCTGTGGGTTAATGCACCAGACTGCAAAGTCGGCAGTTCAAGCTCACCAACTGCTCCTCAGAAACCCTATACAGGGTTACTATGGGTCGAAACTGACTCAACAGCACTTAACAACAACAACCTATAACATAATTGGTGAGAAAAAATCTAGTTTGTAGTTCTCCAGAAACTAAAGCAATTTCAGAGTCAATGGTAGAATTGATTTTATATCTAAGCATTCATTTTAAAGGTGTAAAACAGTCATTAAATCTGCTTTTTAAAGATGTATATTTTGAACGTGTAGGAGAATGCTTTTTTGTTTTTTATCTTGCATATCATTTGCTTTTTAAAAATAAGCATTACTTGTGTCAACTGGATGTTAAATGGGCTATGTATGTTTTATAAGCCAAGTTAGAGTTTGTATTCTCATTTTCTAGAAGTGCCCACTGTTTGGGTTTTGCCTCTCAACAGACAGCAAATGAAGCTTTTGGTCCTCTTTAATTTGTTTCTGCTTTTTAAATTCCCTGACTGAATGTGGTTCACTGAAACAGGACTGGGTGGTTCCGATAGCTACTTGTCTCTCCTGACGTGTTCACTGAAATTGGGGATAAAAAGTTACACATGATGAGATCCAACAGGGTCATTTAGCTTCTTTCCCAAAGCCAGGACACGTCCGACACAGAAAGCTGTTGTCCCAAGCAGTGTTTCCTCGAGGTTATAAAGCATTGCAGCACAGGCTATAAAGCCATGAACTTCCTTTACTACAGTTTTGCTTATCGGTTCTTAAGAGACTGCTGGATCAGAGAGGACTTCCAGACACAGCTGTGATGACTTTGTTTCACTTTTACTTCACTGTGAATGTAGAACTGACAGGTCATCTTCATTTAATGCCTGAAAGTGCCTTGTCAAGAAATTTCCACAGGTTTAAAAAAATAAATATTTTTGTACACAAAGTGAAAGGGGATATGCACTTTAAAAATCACAAGAGTGGATGTTATTCTGTGTGTGGTATATAAAGCTGAGTGGTTTGTTTTGTATCTCAAAAGCATAAAATGCAATAAAGGTAGAAAAAACAAAACTGAAACTGTCCTTCTATTCTTGGAGTCAAAGGAAGGGGAGAAACATTTTAAGTCAATCTGTTTCCACATGGAGAATGTACATTTCCAAAGGGATAGATTACAACCAGAGGCCAAGTTAACTGAATTGTAAGGCAAATAGAGGAGGCTGACCTTGTTGTCAAGCTAGGAAAGCTGGTGGGGGCTGGAACAATGAATTCTAAGGAAGTAGCCTGAGAGCCAGTGTTGTCCTGCCCCGAGCTTCTGCATCCATATTTAATGACCCTAGAGCATGCCCCTTCCTACCTCTTATCACTTGTCCTTGAAGCATATATTTGATTGAATAGATGAGATTGTTTCCTTAAAGATATACAGTCTAGAAACCCAAAGGATCAGAATTGACTCAATGACCACATTGGGTTGCTAATCACAGCATCAGCAGTCGGAATCACCTGTGACTTATTCCTCTGGAGAAAGATGAAGCTTGTTGCTCCCATGAAGATTTACAGCCTCAGAAACTATACAGGTTGGAACCACCTCCACAGCACGTAACAACAACAATAACCAGAGTGGGAAAACTCTTAAGTGGTTACCAAAGCACTTAACTGCTTGATCAGCCAACTCTATAATCAGCATAACTAACCAGTTCCTGACGCTGGAACTCCTCCATTGGATGTTCATATTTCAAGAGGTGTTTTCTTTTGAAAATCATAGGAAGGGGCACATGGATTGAACTGCCAGATGCTG